CCCAGATCTCTTATAACCATTCACCTGTAATGGTGGTTTTTCTATGTAACATTCAACATATCTATCTCTCTATCTATATCTATCTATCTATCTATCTATCTATCTATCTATCTATCTATCTATCTAGATATAGATACAGATAGTTGTAGACCACTATTCTCTGAGCACAATAGCACAGCTGTGAATATTCAAGAGCACCATAAGATTGGGCCTGTTGACCCTCCTTCATAGAAGGAGGGGCTAGAAAATGACATTGGACCACTCCTGCCTATGTCTCCCAGCCAGCTGCGGTAATTCTGCCCCATCTACTGCTGGTCTTGTGGTCTTGGGAGGTACCACAGTATACAGAGGTAGGAAACTGAAACAGGGGTTCCATGTACTCAGCTATGGAAGGTCATCATCTATGATAAGCCTTTACAGTGATGCAACTGTCTTGGGGTCACGTGAATTGTAAGTAGTCTCTTGCACATGACCTATAAGACAAATAGCTCATTGGTTCACTAAGCTGGACCCTGAGGAAATCGTTCCTTCAGTCTGTCATTGGTACCCCACCTGAGGTTGAGTAGATATTCATTTATCTCACTGGAAAAAGTTCATACAGCATGGTTTTATAATATCTCTGTGTGTTTGTATGTATGTATATGTGTATATAACATATAATATATAAGATATGCAATATATGTTATATATCTCCTAAATAACTGAAGGTTTCTAAAATTTGATCTTCTGTTTTCTTTAACTTCTGAGTCCTCTTATATGCAAAAAGTTTATTTTATTTTGCCTCATATGTCCTATAAGTGCTGAAAATTATATAGACTAGTCGATCCTTTTTTATTAAATTAAATGATAGTAGGACTTGGGGTGTGGATCAATGGTAGAGAGTTTGCCTGACATGCTCAAAGTCCTGAGTTCAATCTCTGGAATTAAAAAAAATATAAATGTACATGTAAATAATGTGTTATGATCTCCCTGTAAAGCTTTGCTGAAATTCAGTCACCGTTGCTCTTGTTGTTATGGAATGTACTTTCACACAAAACACACTGCAGCATTCTGGTATTGGGCGCTGACTTTGAATGCATAGTATCTCATCCCTTTCTCATTTAGGTAAGTGCAGATGTGCTCAATCTTATACATGAGGGTATTGTTACCTAGTTAGCGGTAATGAGTAGGGTTTGTCATAAGAGTGCAAATTTCTTAAGAATTCATTCAAGTTCACCTCCCCCATGTCTTATGCATGCCTGGTTATTTGAGAAACCTCAACTGCAAATGGGTTTGTATTATTTAAGGGGTAGTGACATTTATTTTCCTTCAGGAAGACATTTCCATTTATAACACACAAGATTTTCCCCACAGGTCCTTCCCATTTGGTTGTTTTCATCCCTGCTCCATTGGTCTACTTAGCAAATGACTGCCTCACAAATGGAATGTACATTAGCTCAGCCATTATCAGTCTTTGCTAAGCAGGAGGATTGAATGGCCTCTGCCAGCCTTGTCAGAGGTCTGGAAGCATGTGACTGTGAGAAGACATTTCTTTCTGGAGATTCACATCATGCCTAACTTCTAAACTCCCTAAACATAGTTCCTCATTTCAAGGAGATTACCAGTCAGTAGAAAGCAAGATTTTAAAAAAAAATAATACTATATATCCCACATCAATGTGGTGAATGCCCAAAAATAGGAGAGGAGAAGAGACAGAAAAAGAAAGTTATTCACTAAAATAAAAGTCAGAAACTGCTCACCCAAGTGTTCTAAGGATATAGAGTTTCCTAGAGAGACAAGGGGATGTTAAAGGAGCCAAAAAGCATTGGGACTGTCAGTCTGGCAGGAAACACCTCACAGGAGAAAGTCAACTGGAACTCACACACATTGATTCATATCAAGATTTGAAAACCTCTGTTGTTTTGTGACAAGTTCTCAAGCAGGCCAGGTTGGCCTTAAACTCACTGTGTACTGACAGATAACCTTGAACTACTGATCTTCCTGCCTCCCAAATGTGAGCGTTACATAGCATCTTACCTGGGTTTTATGCCAGGCTGGATATTGAACCTAGGGCTTCCTGCACACTAAACTAGCACTCTGCCAGCTGAGCTACAACCCCAGACCTTCAGTACCTTTCACTAAAGAGAGGGGCTGTGTAATGGTGGAGAATGGACTAGGCCAATGAGATATCTTGGATAACAAAGCTGTCTAGGTGACCATGGCTAGCATATTATATGGCAGTCTCATTGCACTGCCTGTGAGGCTGGTGAGTTGTGAGTTTGGAGAAACACCTTACCCATTGTAGGGCATTTCAGAAAGAAAGTCCTAGAGAAAGATATGAGTTTACACAGGGACAACACAGTATTATATTTCTGCTCATGAGGTAAGTTCCAGAAATTCAAGCATACACTCCAATATCACAAGACCCTCCAACACACGAATGCCTGTCAGTAAGGGATAATGTATCTTCTGCAGGTTTGGGAATGTAATCACCACTCCCCTCTGCAATATTACTGATGCTTAAGAGTATAAACCCATACTCCTCCACTGAGAGGGAAGTGTGTCCACACCATCTAGAGCTAGTCAACACTTGCATATTCCTGATGCTTAGGAGTATAGCATACTCCTCCACTGAGAGGGGTGTGTGTCCACACCATCTGGAGTTAGTCAATACTTGTCTAGATTAAGTCAGCCCTTGGCTAAGAATTGTGCCCTGGTGGTAGCTAGCTGGTAAAACTGTTAGGGATTTTATTTTAAATAATGAGAGGGAAATTATTTATAGTCATTAGAATTTGCATGGCTTTTGTTCAGGAATAAATTATAGACTCTTGATAGGAGCAAACGATTTAAGAGGTTTGTAGACTTAATAAATACTGGCATGGTGTCCCAGTCTTCAGTCTGATTTAGGAACTGCAAAGGCAATCCTGACTCCTTTAGGAATGAAGCTGTGGTTCATTTTGGGTGACCAGTGATGTGAAGGAGCTTGAATATTCTCCATGTGTCAGCTAACTAATCTTGGCAAGACCAGAGCCTTCTAAAGAGATTTGTTTTGTTTAAAGGAGTGAATATTTGGCTCTACTTCAGTGACATTTTGGAGCAGTCTTCTTAGTTGCTATTGTGACTAAAACTTTCACTCATCACCTATGCCACTTGGTACAATATGCCATTTTACAGAGGCTGGGGGATTCCTAATGGGCCCTCTGAGACTCGTACTGTTAAGAGCTCCCTCACCGACCTCTGACATAAAGAGAGCAATGTGCACATCCCCCCTCAGAAACCCGATTCCATCATCTTTCTTCTCTCTACAGTGGGTGTAGCTTTGATCTCTTCCTCCTACGGGGTCTCTTTGGCAAACACACACTCTGTCACGTCCACATCTTCAGATAGGCTTTTGGGGCAGCACTCCTCTTGACTTCTCTTCCACTCGTAGACACGATCCTAGGCAGACACTCTATGTTCACCCTCTGGGCACCTCGTGTCCTAGTCAGCGATAACACCGACAACGCCAATGATCTCCTCTGTGTGTCTTGCTATGAGTTCTTCATGATGCCTCACTGCAGACCACACGTTACTTTTAAAATCTCTCATTCCAATTGCTCACCCTCATTTCACTCTTTCTAGAACCCCCGACTATTGTTTCCCGCTTTCCCTTTTGTGGTCCCACCTTTCCCCTCTATTATCCTTTAAACATTGCTGTCGACTTTGCCATCCTTTTCTGCAGAGCTTCAAAGATGTGCTTTCATCCTGGGAGCTCAGATCTCTGTCATCAGGATGGGACCACCATCTGAGTGTCATACCCACAATGTCCCTTCTTTTGTGAGGGCTGCACCCAAGTCTCACATAATCACTTCAAGCTCAGCTTGGTCACAACCAGCTTCCCACATTTCTAAGCAGTGGAATACTGCTTAGAAATGATCTGGTTCAACTTCAGGGAGTCTCTCTTTTTTAAATCTATTTTATCTTTTAAAAAATCTTAATGTGAGATGTACATATGATGGATATATGTGTGTGTGTGCATGCTCGCTCATATGTGTAAATGCGGGCATATGAATGACATAGTGTTCATTTGGAGACCAAGACAACCTGCAGTCAAGTTGTTTGCCTCTACTTTGGACAGGGTCTTTTGTTGCTTGAAGCTGTGTAGACCAGGCTAGCTTCCTTGTGAGCTTCCAGGTATTCTCCTGTCTCTGCCTCCTATCTCAGCACAGGAACATGTGGGCTCACAGAAGCTTAAAGCCTGTGGAGATATTCTTCCCTATCACTGAGCTTCATTGCATGCTTTAGAAAGAGAAACAAGAGACTTACCTGCCCTAGCTATCAACATGTAGATCCTCCCACAGAAGGAGATCTGCCTTACTCATTTTCACATCTTCAGTACTAAGGCACAAGCATTTGAGAGCCAATTCACCAGCAGTGCTGTGTAATGAGGTCTCTCCTTACAGCTTTGGGTTTTTTGCACTAACTGGAAGCATATCAGACCAGAGTCCCTAAGCTTGGTGGAAGACACTGTCTGGTGTAACTGCTTAGTCAAGGATTGCTTTCATTTCTCCAGGCAGCTATCAAAACACAGCCATGCTGCCACAGCTCACATCCTCTCAGGAAAGCACATGAACACAATCTCAGGAGAACACAGAAGTAGAGAAAAGTGCCTGAAAGTGTGGCTGTGAGGGATCACTGCAATTACAGAGGAAACATGGTAGTATGCTCTAGGGAGAAGGAGCAGGTCTGTCTTCCACTTTGATGTTTAACATTCAGTAGGCTAAAAGCATTCAGTCTGTAGTCATGGTTAACAGCCTTGAAAAAATGTGAAGACATTTTAACATTAAGCCTTACAAATATAAAAATCCCAAAAGAAAAACAAATGAATGGAAAATGTAAAACTCCTGCAGGACAGTCTAATCCCTTCCTCCCTCTGGGAGCCCCTATGGTCTCTCATTGATTCTGTCTCTTTGGATTTTACTGTTCTAACATGAATTGTATGCATGTGTGCACATGAGGGAGAGCACACACACATACCACACCTCATGTGTAGAATCAGAGGACAGCTGGTAGGTGTCAGTTCTCTCCTTCTACCATGCTGGTTTGGAGGACTGAAGTCAGGTGGCCAGGCTTGGCCACAAGCAGCCTTACATGCTGAGCCTGGATTTGATTGTTCTGGGTCTTCTCTGCAGGTAAACAAGAACAATAGCATTCCTTTGGTTATTGCTTTATTTCACTTAGCACAATATCCTCAAGGTCCATCCAAGTTACAGTGTATGTCAGAATTTCCTTCTTTAAGACTTAATATTGTTTTTATGTGTTGTTCCTTTTTTCACCTTCATTTGTCTGCTCATGGGCACTTGTGTTTCTATCTTTTAGTTACTTTTAATAATGTCCCTCATGCACATGAATTCACAAATGTCTGTTCAATGTAGCTGGAGAGCTTCTCTCTGGCCTGCCAAGCTCCCAGATGTCCCACAGCCCACTTATAAAACAAACACACAGACACTTATATTTTTTAAACTGTTGGGCCATTAGCTCAGGCCTACCATTGACTAGCTCTTACACTTAACTCAGCCCAATTCTGTTAATCTATATGTGGCCATGTGTTCCGTGGCTTTACCTGTTGCCTTTACATGTTGCTCCCTGGACAGCAGGCTGGCGTCTCCCAGACTCTGCCTTCCTGTTTCCCCAATTTTACTTTCTGTTCGTTCCGCCTATACTTTCTGCCTGGCTACTGGCCAATCAGTGTTTTATTTGTCAATAAATCATCCACAGCAGTTCAAAGCTCTTATTTCCATCCTTCTGTGCAGATATCTGAAAATGGGATCACTAGATCATATGGAAGTTGTGTTTTTATTTTATTGAGGTACCACCAAACATATGCTACAAGGTGATATCACTTTATGTTCCCATCAGGTTTCCGTGAACTCCCCAGTGTCTTCACTGATGCTAAATACTGTTTGCCTTGTAGTACAATTTAATTTCCTTGTGGTCTTAATTTGTTTTTCCCTAAAGAGGAATAATGTTAAGTATGTTTTCACAGGCTTGTTGCCCATGTGCTGGCCTTCCTCAGAGAAATGACTATGCAAGCCTTTCATCAATTTTAGTTGGCAGGTTGTTATTATTGTGAACTGTCCTTTGTGTGTGACAGAAAATAATCATCCATTTTAAAATTATTTCTCCACTGAATTATACTTTTGTTTGTGTTACATGGGTCACAACAAGCTGTAAGGAAGAGCTGGTGAATTAGCGTATCTCAGTAGGCCATGCACTAGTAGGAATTCTATTATTCTGGCAAAATGTGAGAATGGGTCATGGTTAGTGAGTAGCCAAGATATATGTTCTCAAAACATATTTCACGGTGTCCATCAAAAAACCTTTGTCCATAAGCAGAACTACCCACTGAGAGAGGGAAATGGCATATGGCTTAAGAACAGTGTTTTAGATAGATAACCTTCCTGGTTTTGATATTAGTCTGTTAGAATATTACAAAGCACAATAATATGGAAATTCATATTTTTTACATTTCATAGATATATAAGCACCTGACTTAGAGCTCTTCAATATGGGCCAGGCAGTTTGTTTATTATTTCTACTAGGTCAATATATAACTGGTTTTTCCTTTATATTTCAGTTTATTTTTGTGGTACTAGACATCAAACCTAGGGGCCCTTTCTCCATGTTAAGCAAGTGTTCCACTACTGAACTATATCCAAAGCTCATGTTTGTGTGAGCTTTATTCAGTTATTTCCATCTGAATCCTTAAACATTCAAAACTCTTGTTGATGGTGTCATAGCTCCAAAGAATTTAGCAAGGTGGTATTCATTGTTTTAGAAAATTATTTCCCTCATATGTCTATGGCATCCACATTCCAATGATAAGTCCACCTGAGTCAGGATTTAAGGTATTTTAAAAATAGTGGGGCAATGGTGGCATACACTTTAATCCCAGCACTAGGGAGGTAAAGGCAGGTGGATCTCTGAGTTCAAGGCCAGCCTAGTCTACAGCCTGAGTTCCAGGGCAGCCAGGGCTACACAGAGAAACCCTGTCTGAAACACCATGCTACCATCTTAGTTAGGGTTTCTGTTGCTATGAAGAGACATCATGACCATGGCAACTCATAAAAGGGAAAACATTTAATCGGGTGGCTTATAGTTTCAGAGGTTTAGTCCATTATCATAGTGTGACATGGTGGCATGCAGTCAGACATGGTGCTGGAGATGGAGCTGGGATTCCTATATCTTGACTTGTAGGTGACAAGAAGTCATCTATCTCACTGGGCATGGTTATATTTGAGACCTCAAAGGCCACCTCTACAGTGACACACTTCCTCCAACAAGACCACACTGCCTCCAATAAGGCTACACCTCCTAATAGTGCCACTTCCTTTGGGGGGCATTTCAACACACACACACACACACACACACACACACACACACACACACACACACACATACAATCCAAAAAATGGCAGAAAGGCTGATAAGGTAGCTCAGCAGTTAAGCCTCATTTATCTAAGTTTAATCCCTAGAACTCATATAGTGGAAGAGAGACTGGACTCCTGACAGTTGTCCTCTGCCCCTCATTGTGTGTGTGTATACACACATGGCAAACGCAAATGTATTTAAAATAATGGCATAAAAATTATTTATTTTTTGGAATATGAGTATTGATCGGGCCTCAAAAGAAAAGAAGACATTACTCAATAATTGAAAACACCAAAGCACTTGTCAATAAGCACCCATAATATGTATTATTATTTGTTATTGTATTTTGTTTCATAAAGCAAATTTAGAGTTTACTAAGAAGAGGCTTCATTACAGGTTTAAGTATGAATAACTGAAGCAAGACACACACACACAAAAGAAAAGGGAAGTTTCACATACCCATGAGCAGTTAGTGTGAGTAAGCATCTCATGAATCACTCATTATTGTTTAGAAAGACTTTTTACATTTCAAGTTGCTCTTTTTTAATAATATCTAGGCTGTCACTGAAGGAGTTAAGATACCTACAAAAATGCCATATGGGAACAGTAAAAACTCTGAGGGGGGCTACAATCTCTAGAATTATAGATGAATAGAGCCAGCAGCATCCTTTCTCTTATACCTGTTGCCATAGAGACATCACATGCTGTTGTGATCCAAGGGGTCAAGGGTCTTGTGAACTGATGAACCATGGTGAAGAGTGGCTGACACAAAAACAGCATGCATTCAAATGAGGAGGTTTTAAATACAAAGCCATTGATTTTATGCATCTCTGTATAGTTTAAAATATTTGAATTGCAAGTTAAAAATGTTGATCATTCGAGTATCTACCTTTGAAGACTTACTCTTTTTACAAATCTGAACAGTTGCAGAAAAGCACACATGAGAAACTTTGCAGTCCATTTACCACAGAGGAATTGGGTCAATTATCAACACCAGCATCATATTTTAATAAAATAAATAAATAAGTTAAACCAGCTGAAACAGATAAGCCATCCTGGAATAGAAAGCGTGGTGGCAGAGAACCCTTGATTCGCTGGCACCATGAAGACAGGCGAGCATCTGCACAGATTGATTCTGGATAGTTGTGACGCCAGCACTCACACTCACACCAGAGCTTGCAGGGAAGCCAGACTTCACACCTCCGCCCTCAGTGTTCTAACATAAGGAAGAAAATCTGAAGTCATGGCATCCTAAAGGGACTTTCTGGAGATAGACAGGATGCTGGATCCTGCAGCATCCAATAGCAGCCAGGTGCTTTGGCCTATTGCTTTGTGTGTTTATGAAAGAAATCACCATTCCATGTTCTTAAACAAGTAAGAGAGATAATCCTTGGCCCCATGGATAAACAAAGCCTGGCAACCCCAGAGACTTATGTTTTATGGGAAACATTCTTTGAAATGGTACCACAATGTCTCATAAAAAAAAAGAGTATTGAAAGAAGAGTCTGTGACTTCGTGGTGTGGCCATTTGCCTCCCTAAGACATCATAGAACTCCAAATGACAATGTTTTGAACCAAGGACCAGAGACATCTGCTGGAGGCATCACCAGCCTGTTCTTTACTTTCTCCAAAAGCTACTAATCTTCTAAATAAGATGCTTGGGAATCCTTGGCAAAGACACACAAACCAGCATCACTACCAAAAGCCCCGCTCCATCAGTGCATTGATATAGTTCTCAATTAACCACAGAAGAGGAAAAAAAAATTGAGCATACCCTGATCCCCAACAGGTACATTTTATTTTAAAAGAAAGTAATAACAATATGGAGAACTGGGAACCAGGAGATATAGTTTTAGTTAATGAAGTGCTTGCCACTTGTCACTGAAGCATGAAGACTGAGTTCAGATCACTGGAAACCATGTAAAAAGCCAGGTGTATCACCTCAATTATCTCACTGCTGGGGAAGCAGAAGCAGGAGAGTCCCTGGGGCTCACTGGTCATTTTGTCTAGGCAATCACAGAGCTCCATGTTCATTGAGAGACTATGTCTCAAAAAAAATTAGAGATTGACAGAGGACTACACCTTATATGGATCTTTGGTCTTCACATGCATGCACCTGCTCAACCTATTCAAGCACCAGCACACATATACCTGCATACTACACAGAAAGAGCTAGAGAGACAGAGACAAAAACAGACAGAGGCAGAGAGAGGGGTGTTCTTTTCTGCATCCAAACACAACAGTTGGGTACCTTAGTGCAATGTCTTGCCATCGAAGCAAGCACCTGAGCCCCCAGACAAGACGAAACACACCATCTCTGGAGGCATCAGCTCAGGACTCCTTTTTAAAGCAACATTTTATGAATGACTGATGTGGACACTCAGAATTTCTTAATGTAAACACAATAGTCGCTGTTTATGGAGTTTTCAGATTTGCTGTACAAATTGTTGCCATAAATGTGTGGGCTTATTAATCCAAGTAAACTGTCCTTGGTATAAAGACAATAAGATCTCTACCAGACATCCAATATTTCACTGCCAATAAAGCCACACTTCGGAGAATGCCTCCTTCAAAAACCATTGATTTTCATCTCTTGATTTAGTCATTCATTTGTTAGTTTTGATTCTGAGTGTATAATATCCCTTATTACTGTAAGGTATGTTTCACACCACTTAGAGAAAGGTCTCAATAACCATTTCTCTTCATCATCTTTGGGGCTTCTATTATGATTAGTGTACAGCAGCCACAAAA